TCCTGTCTGTTAAGCTACCTCGTCGCCTTGAGATGCTCTAGTCTCGGGAAAACGCCTCACTACCTTCTTTTCCTTTTTCCAGACGACAGAATTTGACCTCAATGCTTTGGCCAAGGCCACGTTTCTAGGCCTCTGCCTTTAATCCCTGCAATCCTTGGAGATTTTTTCTGAACTCTACGAGGGAAGAGTATTCGCTTATTTGACCCCCCAGGAGAGGGGTACTCCCTATAACGGCCTATACGGAGAGGCTCCGCCCGAGAGGGGTTCTTTTTTCAGGCTTCAGGTATATAAAAGGGTAGGGATTCACGAGTTGAAGTATATGAAAGGGTAGAGAAATCCGGTATTTAGGAATCTAAAAGGGTCTTTTTCGAACGGATGCAACTTATGGACGTAACACTTCATTTATTAAACGCCAGAGGAATTTGACAAGAAGCCGGACTCTCTGTTGAGCCATTTATTCATACGGTGGGCCAGTTACAGCAGTTACAAATTAAACTCTTTAGTTAACTTCGCTTAGTTTATACTAAAACAGTGGATAGTGTTTTTCGCGCGCTCTGATTGGCTACTCAATTAGTGAATATCCTGCACTATTCACTGATTCATCTCCAGTTCCTCCGAGCGAGCGACGTCAAACTCGCTTGGTAGTCACTTAAAGGGATAGACGAGAGGGCCCTTCCTCGATCCTGAGACTGGGACCGAGTTATACGATCGCTGACAATTTTTCCGAATGGATCTTCGTACGTGAACAATTAAATCATGAGCTCTTTTGATATACAGTATGTGTGCAGAGGCTACAATTATCTCTTCTCTCGAGTTGAATTAAGGTAAGTTTTAAAACGTTGCTTGGTCGTTTGTAGTTCTACTGAATTCGTAGAAAACTCGATTCATAGTAATTGCTGATCAAGCTTTGCATTTAATTGACAATGGGCCCTGTGATGTATGTTCACGTCACATGGATGAAAGGTACCTCCAGTTTCAACGTTTTTTCTTTTGTTTAAAAATATGATAACAATAATAAAAAAGACATCAAGCTGTTGTTGCAGGATAAGAGATCGTTAAGAGAATTCCTATTCAGAGATCACAAGGCCCATACAATGGATTATAGTACTTAATTATTATTATTTTAAAGCTTATTCTTATTTATTTTTGCCAGTGTTGGCCGGGACTCCTCTTCTTTGACAACATTACCTGTTATTCCAATCTTATGCCATTTCACCATACTAAGTGACTACCAAGAGAATGTGCAAATTCTGTATTGCAATGTACAATCCCAGTTTGAAATGGACTATTGCATAATTGATATCAGCACTCCCCCTTGGTTAAGGAATTGAGCAAAGATCAATGGAATTCTCTAGGGGTATGTTGTCATAGTTTTGGAAATCCTTGAGGAATAGTCTTAAACATTGGAGTTATTCAGGGTAAACAAAGATTTCATGGAATTTTATTAGGAAAAAAAGTAGCGTTGAATAAGTTCCTCAGGGTAAATTCATATCTTAAGGAAGTCTCCCGGGTGAATGCAGTCTAATAGAATTCCTCAGGAGTAAGAAGGAAGTTTATTATATGTTGTCAACTGAGAAGAGGGTGTGGCTATTAAATGTGATAGCCCAATTTTTTTCTGCCATTGAAGAAGGACAAAGCACACACAATGACTGCACGCAACAGCATGCAAGGACTGGATAAAGCAAACATGATGTGTTTTTATTTAGTTGGATAGTAAACCTTTTATTCAATGATTTACATTGTAAAAGTATCATGGACATGGGTGTTTTGCTCATTGCTCGCCTATACATGAAACCATCCAACACATGATTGATAGAATTCACATACAAAAGTTACTCAAAATAACTAAGAATCACCAATCACCAGATCACCAGTGCCACTAACAAAAGGAGGGATACAACAGTACGTTAGTATGCCAAGTTGTGATGGTTTCTTTTTGCATTACCTTGTATTAATTTTGTTTTTTCTGGCTTGACTGTTCATTAGCGACAGACATGTGACTCATTGTTTGTGATAAATAAACAATCTTTTTCCTCTGAAAGGATTCATCAAAGAGAAGAGATTCTCCTAAGGCTTAAAGTTCACATCCAAAACAAAGCATTTAAATATGAGTACCTAGAAGGAAATAGAAATGCAAATCTTAGCACAATGCATGGTGTGAATTCTGCTCGAACAATTCCTGCCAGACATGTATGCAAAGTAAGTTTCACCCTCACCCCTCTGAGAATTCCAATTGGCTTCATACTTTCTTTCTCCCTTTGAATTTTGCAATATTTTATTATTATCCTTGGAATGGGAACAAAACGTAGAGGAGAGGAAAGGTCAGACTTGCGTGGAGGTAGAAATTAAGGTAGATTAGGGATTTAACAAAAAAACAAATAAGGTATTCAAATAGCAGTTGCAGAATGACCATAACGTTTCTAGATCTATTGACATTATTTTATCTGTCTCAGTGATTGTCAGACTTGACATGCCAAAACCACCTTCCCAAAACAGCTGGGTCATAAATGCATTGTGAATTATGATCAACAACAACATCACATTCACCGATTAATAGTACACATTACGGATTATATAGAACAGAGAATTTTATTTATTTGGTCAAGGTACTAAAAGAAATGTATACAAGAATGCCAAAGTTAATTACAATTTCCTATATGTATGTTCATTGCACTGGTACATTGATGAAAACACCAGGCGTTCAAACTCTTATAAACAGTACCATAACAAAATGCCACAATAACTCTTCAACCGTCCACGTCACATAGTACAACACTGTCTAGAAAAAATAGATTTAGCCAAGTCCATCCCAGCCCACCATGTTGTCAATAAAGGCCAGGGCCAGTTCAAGGTACATAACCAAACAGTGGTAAATATGTGGTATCATGTTTCTTTTGGTGGAAACAACGAACCACCACTGAATGGGAAAGCAGCCACCTTCCTTGCAAACACATGTTTGCAGTTTTCAGACTCAATCCTGACTGGGGTTTGAGAAACTGCCTGACACTTACAGGAATTCTCCGTTTTTTTTCCACTGGATGAAGAAATCATCTTTCCCGTGATCAACATAGACACAGCTGGGCAACCTGCAGATATCGAGCCTCAAGATGTGCCCAGTTTTCCAAACATCTCTGAGAAAGAAAATGCTTCAATCTTGGCAAATCAGAGGAACAACAACACAGTGGCAGTACCGGAGTGCAGAGATCTCCTAAACCAGGTAAAGTCTCTTTCCTATATTGTTGATGATGCCAGCAAACTTGAAGATGTTAGAAAATGTCTGCAACACCATGTCGGCAATATGGAAACATCTGCTCCAAAGGCATCTTATGGATTCCTTCTTGAGTGGCCTTCAACCAAGAGCTCGCAACCAAAAATGAAGCAAAATACCGGAAAACCTCTGACCCTACATCTACCTCTAGCAAAACGTCAGGGTAAATATACGGACAGAGTAGGAAAGGTAGCCAACAACTTAAAAAGGGGGTGGCATGTAGATCCACTAAATGCTACATCAAGCAAAAACTCCAAAGGGGCCAAGGTGGAAGTTGAGCTAGAAGTTGTGGCAGAGAGTTGTTCTGAGTTTAATCACCCTGACCTTGCACCAAATAAGCATTTGAGAAGCCCAGTAGGAGCAGTTGTTACACAAGATAATGGCACTTCGAGAGTCAGCAGTGCATTTAAGAGCAGTATGAAAGAGGAAGACTTAAAACCTGTTTCAGACAATCAATCCAGAAGCCCAGCAGTCAAACAAGATAAAAGCAACCCTTCAGCAGTTGGAACCAGTGACATGAAGAGTGTTACACCAGTCAAACATAAGCCACCAAGCTATACAGTTATACAAGATGACAGCTGTCCTTTTGGCCACAAGCTGCCTGTTACCCATGGAAAAACCAAAAGAAATACTGCTGAAAATCACAAAGTACAAGTGCATGTTAAACGAAAGCAGCCAAAAACAGCTACACCCCTGGAGGTGATCTCAAGTTCGCCGCTACCAAGAATCCAAGACAGTGCAATCTTCGTGAGTGAAACATCACCAAGTCCCACTGTGTGGATAAGTCACCAGAATGCATCAGGACACAGACAAATCACCCTTTATAGTAGCAGCAAAAGCAATATTCTTAGTTCCACCGGATGGCTAACAGATTCAGAGGTTGAAGCTGCTCAAGATCTCCTGAAAAGTCAGTTTCCTTTAGTTGATTGCTTGGAAGATCCAAGTGTTGTTGGTGATCTAGTGACTCCTGCTGCAAGTGAATTTGTACAGATAATCAACACAGGGTCACACTGGGTGTGTTTCAGTGCTATTTCCTGTCCCACTGGGGAAGTCAAAGTATATGATAGTCTGTATGGAAGCCCTGCCAGGAAAACAGTAGAACATGCATGCAGATTGTTGCACTACAAAGGCAACATAGTTAAAATTAGGAATTAGAAAGTGCAAAAGCAGAAGGGCTACAATGACTGTGCACTCTTTGCTATAGCCTTTGCCACCACTCTATGCCATGGTGGTGACCCCACCACCAAGAGATATGACCAGAGAGCCATGCGCCAGCATCTTGTTGGTTGCCTGGAGTCTTCAAGGATGACCAAGTTCCCACCAACTGATAATACAGTTGAGCTTGTTCATCCTGTTGTAGGCAAAAATGTACGTATTTACTGCACATGCTGATTGCCTAACAACAACGCTGCTTATGTCAAGTGTTGTGGGTGCTGTGAGTGGTACCATCCAGATTGTGCTAATATCCCTGAATATGCATTCCATCCAACAACAAAATGGTTGTGCTTTGAATGCAACCAGAAAAACACAAACACTTAAACTCATGTGATATCAAAACAAGTCTTCCTGTTGTGAGCAAAAACCTTCACCCTTTTTATGGTAGATGAAGCAATTCTTTCAAGAAACCTTATATTACATTAATATAAAATAATAATTACACCTGTAACAAAGTTTTTGATTAGGTTATTGTGGCTGTACTAGAAATATTGTGTAAATTTAAAACTTGACATACATTGAAAGCTTCTTTCTCTGGTTTGATCAGTTCAATAAACAGCAGAGACAGAACTTTTTTTCTCAGCTGTTACAAAAAAAAAATGTAACTCAGAGATGGAAAAATTGCCAATTTTTATAACTTCTAAGGACTTAAGGAAGAAATTGGATGTGAATTTTAAGCCTTAGGAGAATCTCTTCTCTTCTATTAATCCTTTCAGAGGAAAAAAATTGTTTATTTATCACAAACAATGAGTCACGTGCCTGTCACTAATGAACAGTCAAGCCAGAAAAAACAAAATTAATAAGGGTTTCATGTATAGGCGAGCAATGAGCAAAACACCCATGTCCATGATACTTTTACAATGTAAACCATTGAATAAAAGGTTTACTATCCAACTAAATAAACTCACATCATGTTTGCTTTGTCCAGCTAGTCCTTGCATGCTGTTGCGTGCGGTCCTTGTGTGTGCTTCGTCCTTCTTCAATAGCAGAAAAAAATTGGGCTATTACATTTAATAGCCACACCCTCTTCCCGGTTGACAACATGTAATAAACTTCCTTCTTACTCCCGAGGAATTCTATTAGACTGCATTCACCCGGGAGACTTCCTTAAGATATGAATTTACCCCTGAGGAACTTATTGAACAGTACTTTTTTTTCCTAATAAAATTCCATGAATTCTTTGTTTACCCTGAATAACTCCAATGTTTAAGACTATTCCTCAAGGATTTCCAAAACTATGACAACATACCCCTATAGAACTCCATTGATCTTTGCTCACTTCCTTAACCAAGGGGGAGTGCTGATATCAATTATGCAATAGTCCATTTCAAACTGGGATTGTACATTGCAATACAGAATTTGCACATTCTCTTGGTAGTCACTTAGTATGGTGAAATGGCATAAGATTGGAATAACAGGTATAGTTGTCAAAGAAGAGGAGTCCCGGCCAACACTGGCAAAAATAAATAAGAATAAGCTTTAAATAATAATAATTAAGTACTATAATCCATTGTATGGGCCTTGTGATCTCTGAATAGGAATTCTCTTAACGATCTCTTCAGTCCTGCAACAACAGCTTGATGTCTTTTTTATTATTGTTATCACATTTTTAAACAAAAGAAAAAACGTTGAAACTGGAGGTACCTACTGTCAATAAAATGCAAAGCTTTATCAGCAATTACTATGAATCGAGTTTTCTACGAATTCAGTAGAACTACAAACGACCAAGCCACGTTTTAAAACTTGCCTTAATTCCACTCGAGGGAAGAGATAATTGTAGCCTATGCACACATACTGTATATCAAAAGAGCTCATGATTTAATTGTTCACGTACGAAGATCCATTCCGAAAAATTGTCGGTGATCGTATAACTCGGTCCCAGTCTCAGGATCGAGGAAGGGCGGTCTCGTCTATCCCTTCAAGTGACTACCATTCTCGCATAGTTCTCGGATACGAACGCGGCTCAAACGTAGCAACGGGAGACTGTCGCAACGGGAAAAGTTCAAAAACAATTTCAAAAATCCTTGTTTATGTATTTAAAAGAGCGTCGTCAACTTGTATACGGTAAGCTCCTTATTTTAAAGCTGTCGGAATACTAAAACAAGTTGCTGCCGGTGCTTCTTACGGGACATGGTAAAGATCGTTAATTTGTCATATAGCTTCATATGATAGTTTTTGTTTGCCAGGAAAAGAAGCAGTGATTTTTGTTGTGTCGCCTCTCAATGCAAGGCTGAATGCACTGTTTTAAGACACAGATGGGAGCCGGAAAGTTCAAAAGAATCATCAATCAGTTTTCTTTTAGTGAAATAAGAAGAAAAGAAGCTTTTAGTTGAACCCTGATTAGCCTCCCACGCAGGCGCTTTTAGGGGAGCTCGTTTTTCATCCCTTCCCACAAACGCCTGCTCAACCGAAAACAACATTCCTTTCCCATTGCTTTGCTTCCGCGGTAAGTGACCAATCAAAAGTTTTGAAATAGAGTGTTGACAGGCTAAACACGACTAAAACGTGACCCTAGACATACCGTTTTCCTTCTTTTCTTTCCTTCGTTTTCCTTTAGTTGTGCCGCTCTGAATTTAACATTTATTAGAGGTCAGAAAGCTTTCCCACTGTTTCCTGCAGATCGAGTAATTATCAGACTACCCTGCGGTCAAGGTCAACTTTCCAGAATTTGGAAAGTACAATTTGATTGGCTAAGCCTGGGAAAGGAATGTTGTCTTCGGTTGAGCAGGCGTTTGTGGGGAGGGATGAAAAACGAGCTCCCCTAAAAACGCCTACGTGGGAGGCTAATCTGATTTGTCCTCAAGGACTTCGACCTGGTTGGTTTCTTCACGGACCGCTTGTCCTGTTCTGAAAAGAAAGTAAAGCGGCAACGTTTTTAAAGAATTTTCAGGTACAACTTGCACATTAATGGTCATGGAAGTTCCGTTTCTAAATGGAAATTTAAGTATTTATAGTTGTTTCATAGTTGTTTTATACGACTTGAGACGGATTTCGGCCGCTTTTACTTGCGTGAAAGGGTCGTGAAATGATCCACGATCCAGTTAGTATTACGCGAATTGCTTTTAAGGATAAAATTATGGTTTGCAAATAAAATTTTTCCATAAATAATTTCTCTGACTACTGTTTTGTCTATGTTCATTCATAACACTACTTTAAAACACAATCTTGAGACTACAGCATCCAACTTATTTATTTATTTATTTCGTTGTCGGCGAATTTCATTTTTTACTTTGGGCACAACTATGGTTCACCGGTTAAGCTTAAGCTTATTATAGATTAAAATTTTTGAAAGCTTATTTGCACCCTAAGTTAACTGCTGAAATAGTCATGAAACTACCGGTTTTTGAAATGAAAACTTCGTAAAAACGAGCCGGTGGAATAGTCGTTTATGGATTATACCAGCCTCCGAAAAACGTTTTAGAACATTTTTCCAGCTTTTAATATATAGCATCAATGCGTCTGTAGCAATTTTTACAAAGGCGTTGAGATGGTTTAACTCTGGCCAACAGGACATAACATGATCCTTGCTCTGGCTTAAAAACTTCTTTAACATGAGTGTATTACTATAGGTTATAAGTCGGAAAAAACTGCCGTTTGAAGTTAAATGTGCTCCCCGCAAAGCAGACTGGACTTACTATAGCTGATGGTATAAAAATACTTTGCTAAAAAAGACGATCCGTGGAAATTTTGCGGCTAAAATACTTAAAACCAGAGGGGGCGAAGCAGAAAAACAAAACAAAAGCTCGAGGAGAGTTGTTCGAAAGCAGTTTTTGCAAGTTTGATTCCAGCGAAACCCACGCAGATTTGACGAACCAGCTGCTTGCGAATCTTAATTGCCAATCGCGTGACGAATTTTGCGCATCCACGATAGAAAATTGAAGCACTGAGGTCGAGAATGGGTTGGAATTGTTGTCGCGACCTCTAGCAGAAATGGCCAATGTTTGTCTGAGTCTCGGTGGGGGTCTGTACTGTCGCAATTTGTAATAATCATCACACTTTTTAATACCTGTCGCAATTTTTAATAAACCGTGTCGCACTTTGTAATAAACTAAGCTGTCGCAATTTGTAATAATTCCATCGCACTTTGTAATAATTTTTTGAGAGTGATTCAAACTTCGTCAACATTAAAATAACATGAGTGGTATTTCATAAACAAAGATGATGACGTCTGCAAGCACTTAACTTACAAAATTAGTACAGGGAATAGCATTATTTGTAGTGATATTTGGCATAAATACCACGAGTGAACTTCGAAATTGTTATACGTAATTTCACGAGCCGTTAGGCGAGTGAAATTTGAGACAATTTTGAAATATCACGAGTGGTATTTAAATTTGAGACAATTTTGAAATATCGCGAGTGGTATTTATGCCAAATATCACGTACAAATCATGCTATTATTTGTTTATACTACCACCCGCAAAAGGTTTGTAATGTTCACATGTAGGTATTTCAAATTAAGCTGAAATACCACTGCTCTAAGCCAATCAAATTGCAGTAATTTTTCCTGTAGTAGTATAACTTAGATAATTTACATCTCCTCCTATTCAAACCATTTAACTTTATTCACGGTCCTGGGGTTCCTGAGGGGGGGGGGTGGTAAACATTTTTATTTTCATCAATGTTGATTAGTTATCTGACTTACGAAATCCTGTATTCTTAAACCTTGCTATTGTACTAGATGGTTACCCGGGGGAGGCGGGGGCGTACTCCCTATATAGCCAATACGGTGATGTGCCTCTGGACACAGCATTGTCCGAGTACAAAATGTAGACACACTAGACACAAACGAGCTATTATTAAAAGGCATTTAATTTCCACAAATCTTAACATCCATCCTTACAGCATTCAATTAAGGACACCAGGAAAGTTCACGCTTTCCTTTTTAGATCTTATAACAGGTCGACCAGAAGCATATAACTGCTTCTGGTCGACACAACACCGTCCTTGTCTAATGTGCGATCTTAAAAGAAGTAATAGTGGCTTCCATATTTTGACCAACTTAATCAGGCGAGGCCTGTAACACTGTCGAACCACAACAGAAACATAAACTCGAAATCCGATTAGTCGCTGGCCAATACCTTTGTATGTACCTGTTTTTATAAAACTCACGTGGGGTCATACACTGAGCCTGCTGACCATTTGGTCCATTATTCTCTCTTGATTTGGTCCCATATAGGAACAAAACTGAGTATCATTCCATCTTAAAACAATTTTTTCTATGGTGCCCTCTAAGGCAAATACCGTGGGGATAGTAAAAAATTCTCCTTCCCCGCGTACAACACGTAAGACCTTGCAATTCTTCCGAGAGTGCTCAGGATTACTTTTTACCACAAAATGAAAAGGATAATAAACCAAATCATCCATTACTGCTTGAATTACCCTATCTAAGGACAAAGACACAAAGCCAACAAGGTAAAAAATGATACCCTATCTAAGGTTCGCGATCCTCAGCGGTACTTACCTAGCTCGCCCATATATGGGATTATCCCCCTCCCAAGACTTCACGTGTCACGTGGCAAGCAAACTGAATATGGATTTGGACGACGAACGCCAGGGTTTTCTGAATTCAAATATATGAAATGATTCATATCCTTTTTTTGGTGACATGTCACAGGAAGATTCATGTCTTTCATAAAAAAGCGATTCTCGTTGGTCACGTGATTAATCAAGGCAGAAAGACATGCATGTTTCATGCAAGTATTACATGTTTGACCAAAGAAAATAATTTAAGTTTATAACAAAGTGCGATGGAATTTTTACAAATTGCGACAGCTTAGTTTATTACAAAGTGCGATGGACAGTATTACAAATTGCGACAGCTTTTTTATTACTAAGTGTGACACGGTTTATTACAAATTGCGACAGGTATTACAAAGTGCGATGATTATTACAAATGCGAAAGTACAGGGTCACATTTTTGTGACGTCATCTGTGCGCAGCGCTATTTAACCTATTGGCCTCTCAAAGTTGATTGATTGATTGATTGTTGCTTTCAATTTTTTATTTAAAACGCCCAAGAAATGTCAGTTTCATGTTATTGGCAAAAAATAGATGTAGCCTCTTGCTTCTTATCATTTTTCGTCATCATTTGAAATTAAGATGTTGGCAAAATGTACCAGGAAAAATGGTAACACACCTCCTCGTGTGGCCAGGTGTGGCATCTTCTCCTTTTCTCCCTCCAGCCCTCCCTCTTTTAGAAAAACAGCATGCACCACGAAGCGATCGAAGAGAATTTCTCCCACTCTCTTGTCAGACTTGTGAAGCTTTTCCTGAAGCGCTTTTTGAAATAGTTCACCAGTCGGACTCTCCTTTTTCTCGGCATAATATTCCAGAAAGCTCATGTATGACCTACAGAATGGAAGTTGACAAATGTATTTTTTGTTGTTCAGTTTTATCTTTGGTTGAAATTTTCTTTCCTCGAACCTTTTTTTGTCGGTGGGGGGGGGGGGGAG